ATCAAATGAAGTAAAAATCTTAAATGAACCAAGCATAGAATCTCTATCGATAGTAATTCCATGCTCTAATCATAAGAATATAGCAGTAGGGACCACCTGACCAGGATGGTGATAGTGACTGTGAAATGCTCAGGGAGATTAGAGAGGCTATTAAAATAAAAAACTCAACAGTAATGGGTGATTTCAACTATCCCCATATTGCTTGGGTACATACCACCCCAGGACGGGATGCAGAGATAAAGTTTCTTGACAACTTAAATGACTACTTCTTGGAGCTGCTAGTCCTTGAGCCCACAAGAGGGAGGCAATTCTTGATTTAGTCCTAAATGGAGCACAGGATCTGGTCCAAGAGGTGACTATAGCTGGACCACTTGGTAATAGTGACCATAATATAATTAAATTTAACATCCTTGTGATGGGGAAAACACCACAGCAGCCCAACATTGTAGCATTTAATTTCAGAAAGGGGGACTACACAAAAATGAGGAGGTTAGTTAAACAGAAATTAAAAGGTACAGTGCCAAAAGTGAAATCCCTACAAACTGCATGGAAACTTTTTAAAGATACCATAATAGAGTCTCAACGTAAATGTATACCCCAAATTAAAAAACATAGTAAGAGAACCAAAAAAAGTGCCACCATGGCTAAACAACAAAGTAAAAGAAGCGGTGAGATGCAAAAAGGCATCCTTTAAAAAGTAGAAGTTAAATCCTAATGAGGACAATAGAAAGGAGCATAAACTTCGTCGGATGCATTCACCCACGAAAGCTTATGCTCCAATACATCTGTTAGTCTTAAAGGTGCCACAGGACTCTCTGTTGCTTTTTACAGATCCAGACTAACACGGCTACCACTCTGATACTATGATTTTATGAAAACTCTGTCAAAAGATATAATTTTGCGTCATGGGCATCAACAATTTTCTTCAACTGAGTCACGAGGAAAAAAGTTTGAAAACTACTTAGAGGACGTTTTGGAACAAATTGATAAACTAAACAGTAATAAGTCACCAGGACCAGATGGTATTCACCCAAGAGTTCTGAAGGAACTCAAATGTGAAATTGCAGGACTACTAACTGTAGCAGCTGTGTTAGTCTGTATCCGCAAAAAGAACGGGAGTACTTGTGGCACCTTAGAGACTAACACATTTATTTGAGCATAAGCTTTCGTGGGCTACATGCATCCGATGAAGTGCGCTGTAGCCCACGAAAGCTTATGCTCAAATAAATGTGTTAGTCTCTAAGGTGCCACAAGTACTCCTGTTCTTTTAACTGTAGTCTGTAACCTATCATTTAAATCAGCTTCTGTACCAAATGACTAGAGGATAGCTAATGTGACACCAATTTTTTAAAAGGGCTCCAGAGGTGATCCCGGCAATAACTGGCCGGTAAGCCTCACTTCAGTAAAAGGCAAACTGGTTGAAACGATAGTAAAGAACAAAATTGTCAGACACATAGATGAACATAATTTGTTGAGGAAGAGTCAACATGGTTTTTATGAAAAGGGAAATCATGCCTCCCCAATCTCCTAGAATTCTTTGAGGGGGGTCAACAAGCATGCGGACAAGGGGGATCCAGTGGATATAGTGTACTTTGATTTTCAGAAAGCCTTTGACGAGATCCCTCACCAAAGGCTCTTAAGCAAAGTAAACTGTCATGGGATAAGAGGGAAGGTCCTCTCATGGATTGGTAACTGGTTAAAAGATAGGATACAAATCTGGGAAAAGGGGTAAACAGTGAGGTGGCAAAATTTGCAGATGATACAAAACTAATCAACTGCGAAGAGCTACATAAGGATCTCTCAAACCTGGGTGACTGGGCAACAAAATGGCAGATGAAATTCAATGTTGATAAATGCAAAATAATGCAGATTGGGAAACATAATCCCAACTGTACATATAAAATGATGGGGTCTAAATTGGCTGTTACCACTCAAGAAAGAGATCTTGGAATCATTGTGGATAGTTCTCTAAAAAAATCCACTCAATGTGCAGTGGCAGTCAAAAAAACAAACAGAATGTTGGGAATCATTAAGAAAGAGATAGATAATAAGACAGAAAATATCAAATTGTCTCTATATAAATCCATGGTATGCCCACATCTTGAATACTGCCTGCAGTGGTCGCCCCATCTCAAAAAAGATATATTGGAATTGGAAAAGGTTCAGAAAAAGGCAACAAAAATGATTAGGGGTAGGAAACAGCTGCCATATGAGGAGAGATTAATAAGACTGGGACTTTCCATCTTGGAAAAAAGACGACTATGGGGGATATGATAGAGGTCTATAAAATCATGACTGATGTAGAGAAAGTAAATAAGGAAGTGTTATTTAGTCCTCATAACACAAGAACTAGGAGTCACCAAATTAAATTAATAGGCAATAGGTTTAAAACAAACAAAAGGAAGTATTTTTTCACACAACGCACAATCATAAGAACATAAGAACGGCCGTACCGGGTCAGACCAAAGGTCCATCTAGCCCAGTATCCTGTCTACCGACAGTGGCCAATGCCAGGTGCCCCAGAGGGAGTGGACCAACAGGCAATGATCAAGTGATCTCTCTCCTGCCATCCATCTCCATCCTCTGACAAACAGAGGCTAGGGACACCATTCCTTACCCTAATAGCCATTAATGGACTTAATCACCATGAATTTATCCAGTTCTCTTTTAAACCTGTGGAACTCCTTGCCAGAGGATGTTGTGAAGGCCAAGACTATAACAGGGTTCAAAAAAGAACTATATAAATTCTTGGAGGATAGCCATCAATGGCTATTAGCCAGGATGGGCAGGGATGGTGTCCCTAGCCTCTGTTTGCCAGAAGCTGGGAATGGGCGACCGGAGATGGATCACTTGATGGTTACCTGTTCTGTTCATTCCCTCTGAGGCACCTGGCACTGGCCACTGTTGAAAGACAGGATACTGGGCTAGATGGACCTTTGGTCTGACCCAGTATGGCCGTTCTTATGTTTTTATGTTCTTATGACACCAGCTCCTGAGCCGGAGACTCCAGCTGATGAGAGAAACTTAGGGAAAAGTGCTGGGGCCGGGCACGAAAGTGACTCTGCACAAACGGCCCCTCCTTGCCCCATCTCTGCTCCCCGGAGTTTTGCGAGTCCCAGAGCTGGTGCCCCCGACACACCCAGGCCCACATCCCTGTTAGCAGTGGCAGTAGCTGTTGGAGAGGAAATGCCCACAGAAATGGCAGGACAGTAACCAGTTCTTCCATGCAGTAGCGAGAGACTGAAAGGGGTAGCAGGAGCAGTTAGTGGGGAGGGAGGTTCCCGTCTCCTAAACCTGCCCAGCTCCATTCCCTGCAGCACTCCGGGGCAGATTGACTTTCCTGGGACAAGGTGAGGAACAGAGACAGGAAAAGCCAGTTCCTGCTTCTGCCTAGTCCCCGCGCTGCTGGGGGAATGTGCTGCCCTGGGGACAGTATCGGGGGGATCCCCCAAAGTGGCTCCTTTGATTCTGCTCTTTTCTAGCTTTTGGCTCAGAGACTCTGTTCCTGGGAGGGTTTAAAAATGTCTCATTTGTTTAGTCCCAGTGGCAGGGGTCAGGTCTGTGTTGTAATAACATAACTGAGGGTTTTCCCAGCATGGCAGAGTCTAGAGCAGGGGTTCTCAAACTGGGGGTCAGGACTCCTCAGGGAGGTCACGAGGTTATTACATGGGGGGTTGCGAGCTGTCAGCCTCCACCCCAAACCCTGCTTTGCCTCCAGCATTTATAATGGTGTTAAATATAGAAAAGTGTTTTTAATGTATAAGGGGGGGTCACACTCAGAGGCTTGCTATGTGAAAGGGGTCACCAGTAAAAAAGTCTGAGAACCCCTGGTCTCAAGTGTTTGTCTGCAGGGAAAGAGCCTGGAGGGAATCGGGATGTGAAATGGACTAATGCTAATACAGAAACCTCCACAATTGTCCTTCTCACCCTGATAGCCTGCAGAGTAACGACCACATTTTGCTCCAGATCATCCCGTCATCCCAGGGGCCGGGGAAGGGAAATGGCTCTGGTGGATCCAGCTCAGGTAGCGGATGTTTGGGGGCAGTTGCTGGAGAGGGTTGTTGTGGAATGGGAGGGGCAGGAAACAAACAGTGTGAGACAGGGAGGGGACAGGGTGTGATAAACTTGATGGGACATGCTCAGTCTAGGGCTGGGAAAACAGACCTGAGTGCTGGAGGCTGAACCCAGTAGGCAGAGACTGTGGTGAAATACAAAGGGATGGTGCTGGAATTCCTGTCCCTGTCCCCTACCCAGAGCTCTGCTTCCCACATCAGCCTGTGCCTCGTAGGTATGTGGTAAATGAGACGACTACGGTGGGATATGATAGAGATATATAAAATCATGAGTGTTGTGGAGAAAGTGAATAAGGAAAGGTTATTTACTTTTTCCCATAATATAAGAACTCGGGTCACCAAATGAAATTAGTGGGCAGCAGGTTTAAAACGAATAAAAGGAAGTTCTTCTTCACACAGCGCACAGTGAACCTGTGGAACTCCTTGCCTGAGGAGGTTGTGAAGGCTGGGACTATAACAGGGTTTAAAAGAGAACTAGATAAATTCATGGAGGTTAAGTCCATTAATGGCTATTAGCCAGGATGGGTAAGGAATGGTGTCTCTAGCCCCTGTTTGTCAGAGGGTGGAGATGGATGGTAGGAGAGAGATCACTTGATCATTACCTGTTAGATTCACTCCCTCTCAGACACCTGGCATTGGTCACTGTCGGTAGACAGGACACTGGGCTGGATGGACCTTTGGTCTGACCCAGTATGGCCATTCTTATGTTCTTACCCTGCCCTCCTCTGTCTGCTGGGAGGGACAAGGAGCTCTCACCTTCTGTCTGTTCCCTGGAGACTCCTGGCTACTTTGAACAGGGTGGGGGTGGGATTCTGCTCCTCTGGCCTTTCCAGAGCTGCCCTATTTTTGTGCTTCTTCCCCCATAAATAGTGGGATTGTGGCTGGGGCAGCAGGTGCTGAGAAGGGAACATTTGTTGTTTCAGATGCCGGTGACCTTTGAGGATGTGGCTGTATATTTCAGTGAGGGGCAGGAAGCTCTGCTGGACCCCAGTCAGAGAGCTCTCTACAAGGACGTCATGCAGGAGAATTATGAGATGGTGACCTCGCTGGGTAAGGACTCCTGTCCCCTCAGCTATTTGAAGCCAGGGGGTCTGCATTTCTGAATCTGGTCAGGTTCTTCCTTGGTCAGTAATATTAGAGGGGGATGTGTCTCATAGTCCAGAGCTCCAGTGTGAGAGATCCATTCACCTCCATACCTCCTCCAATGGAATAGGGGAGTCATGAACCTAATGGACATGCTAATTCATCCCCATCCCTCCAGCTTTCACGGGGCAGGAGCAATGTGTTAACCTTTCCACATTAATTCTCACTCACACACAGGATCTCTGTGCACCTCCCTTCATGCAACTAGCTCTATGTGTGGGGAGGGCTCTGGTCTCTGTGGGTTCAGACATAGGCAGAGGTTTAACACCAGAGCTGTGTGTGTCTCAGCAAGTCCCCCAGAGCCCACAGATCCTGAAAACTCCTAATGAGGGTGTGACAACTCCCCCTTTCCAGACATCAGCCTCTTCCAAGGGGGCTCAGTGACCATGTTCCCATCTGTTCAGATCCCACAACCCCCAGCAAATCATGGGGTCAGTTTAATCTCATTATGTGCCCTTTGTGACAAATACTCCATCAATCCTCAGTGCACTCTGATCATGCCTGATTTCACCCCCTGAGCAGGACTCCCCATTCCCAAACCTGACCTGATCGCCCGGCTGGAAGCAGGGGAAGAGCTGTGGGTCCCGGATCGCCAGGCCTCCAAGGAAAGCAACATCCAAAGAGGCATCCGCACAGGTGAGGAGTCAGTGACACTGACACAGGAGGTATATGGCAAATGAAGGAAAAAGCTGAAAATCCCCAAAATATGGTGTGAGTGCCCTCAGTTCTGCCTCATCTCCCCTAGGGAGGCTGTCGTCAGCAGGTGTTATATATTATATATAATCAAGGCAGATATCGCTCATGACTTCCCACCCACCCTGTTAGCTGTCAGGAGTTTTCTCCCTGATGTCACTTCCCTGGGAGTGTTTGGATTGGATGTGGTGGCAGAATCTAATTTCTCAGTCTCCCTAAAAGTTATTGTGTTGTGTTTTCCCTCTTTGCTATTCCCCTTTCTGTCCTTTCTGCCAGCCCAGGCAATGACTCCTGCCTGGATTCTCTCTCTCCCCCAGCAGGTGATGAGACAAAGAGTGAGAACGAGGAGGAGAATCCACAGCAGGAAGGTCTTGAGAAAGTAGAACTTCAGGGGAGGTTTTTGAGAAGAGCTGAAGGGAATTTTTCCCAGTGCTTGGAACAGAGAAAAACCTGCAGTAATTGGCACAGGTCAGAGAGGAACCTGGGAAACCACCGAAGGAAGAAAATGGATGAATCCATTGAATATGGGGGAGGAGGCAAGAATTCCAAGGAAACCACAGCCCAGCAGACAAATCCCAAGGAAAAGAAACCCTATAAATGTTTGGATTGTGGGAAAAGCTTCAGTCAGCGCTCAGTCCTTACTAACCATGGAAGAATCCATACAGGAGAGAGACCCTATAAATGCTTGGATTGTGTGAAAAGTTTTAATTGGAGCTCAAATCTTACTACCCATCGGAGACTGCACACGGGAGAGAGACCTTATAAATGCCTTGAGTGTGGAAAAAGCTTCAGTCATCTCTCAGGCCTTAATAACCACAGGAGAATACACATGGGAGAGGGACCATATAAATGCTTTGAGTGTGGGAAAAGTTTCAGTGTACCATCAGCCCTTAATATACATCAGAGAACCCACATGGGAGAGAAACCCTATAAATGCTTGGATTGTGGGAAAAGCTTCAATTGGAGCTCAAATCTTACTACCCATCGGAGACTGCACATGGGAGAGAGACCATATAAGTGCCTTGAGTGTGGGAAAAGCTTCAGTCAGTGCTCAGGCCTTACTAGCCATAGCAGAATCCACACAGGAGAGGGACCATATAAATGCCTGGAGTGTGGGAAAAGTTTCAGCGCACCATCAGCCCTCATTATACATCAGAGGACCCACACAGGAGAGAAACCCTATAAATGCTTGGACTGTGGGAAAAGCTTCAGTCAACGCACACACCTTATTAGCCATAGGAGAATCCACACAGGAGAGGGACCATATAGATGTCTTGAGTGTGGGAAAAGTTTCACAGTACCATCAACCCTTATTACACATCAGAGGACCCACACGGGAGAGAAACCTTATAAATGCTTGGACTGTGGGAAAAGCTTCAGTCAGCGCTCAGTTCTTAATACCCATGGGAGAATACACACGGGAGAGGGACCATATAAATGCACTGAGTGTAGGAAAAGTTTCAATGTACGATCAGCCCTTATTAAACATCAGAGAACCCACACAGGGGAGAAACCCTATAAGTGCTTAGATTGTGGGAAAAGCTTCAGTCAGCGCTCAGGCCTTATTAGCCATGGGAGAATCCACACAGGAGAGGGACCATATAAATGTTTAGATTGTGGGAAAAGCTTCAGTCGGCGCTCAATCCTTATTAACCATGGGAGAATGCACACGGGAGAAGGACCATATAAATGCTTGGAGTGTGGGAAAAGTTTCAGTGCACCATCAGCTCTTATTGTACATCAGAGAACCCACACAGGAGAAAAACCTTATAAATGCTTGGACTGTGGGAAAAGCTTTAGTCAGCGCTCAGTCCTTATTAATCATGGAAGAATCCACACAGGAGAGAGACCCTATAAATGCTTGGACTGTGGGAAAAGCTTCAGTCGGAGCTCAAATCTTGTTACCCATCAGAAACTGCACACGGGAGAGAGACTTTATAAATGCTTGGAGTGTGGCAAAAGATTCAATCGGAGCTCAAATCTTGTTGCCCATCGGGGACTGCACACGGGAGAGAGACCATATAAATGTTTGGACTGTGGGAAAAGCTTCAGTCAGCGCTCAGGCCTTATTAACCATAGGAGAATCCACACTGGAGAGAGATCCTATAAATGCTTGGACTGTGGGAAAAGCTTCATTCGGAGGTCAACTCTTACTACTCATCGAAGACTGCACGTGGGAGAGAGACCGTAAAAATACCTTGAGTGTGAGCAAAGCTTCAGTCTGAGCTCAAAACTCAGTTCACATCAGAGATCCCACACAGGAGAGAAATCCTGTAAGTGTGGGAAAAGTTTCAGTTAGAGCTCAAACTAGGGCTGTCAATTAATCGCAGTTAACTCACAAAATTAACTCAAAACAAATTAATTTGATTAAAAAAAATCACGATTAATCGCAGTTTTAATCGCACTGTTAAACTATAATAGAATATCAATTTAAATTTATTATGAATATTTTTGGATTTTTTTTCTACATTTTCAAATAGATTCCAATTACAACAGAGAATATAAAGTGTACAGTGCTCACTTAATACTATTATTTTTTATTACCAATATTTGTACTGGAAAAAAGATAAACAAAAGAAATAGTATTTTTCAATTGACTTAATACAAGTACCGTAGTGGAATCTCATTATCGTGAAAGTGTAACTTGGAAATGTACTTTTTTTGTTGTTGTTCTCTCAGTTCTACTTCTTGTTCAGCCAATCCCTAAGACAATCATGCTTCCGTAGTGATGATGCTAATTAAAAAAATAATTAATTAATTAAATTAGTGACTGAAGTCCTTGTGGGAGAATTGTATGTCTCCTGCTCCATGGTTTTACATGCATTCTGCCATATATTTCATGTTATGGCTGTCTCGGATTATGACCCGGCATATGTTGTTCGATTTAAGAACACTTATATTGCAGATTTGACAAAACGCAAAGAAGGTACCAATGTGAGATTTCTAAAGATAGCTACAGCACTCGACCCAAGCTTTAATAATCTGAAGTGCCTTTCAAAATCTCAGAGGGATGAGATATGGAACTTGCTGTCAGAAGTCATAAAAGAGCAGCACTCTGATTGTGAAATGACAGAACCCGAACCACCAAAAAAGAAAATCAACCTTCTGTTGGTGGCATCTGACTCAGATTATGAAAATGAATGTGCGTCAGTCTGCACTTCTTTGGATCCTTATCAAGCAGAAACTGTCATCAGCATGGAAACATGTCCTCTGGAATGATGGTCAATGCATGAAAGGGCATACAAATGTTTAGCATATCTGGCATGTAAATACTTTGCTACACCAGCTACAAAAGTGCCATGAGAATGCCTGTTCTCACTTTCAGGTGACGTTGTAAATAAGAAGTGGGCACTAGGTTGAGATCGCAGAATTTGATTTCCTATCTAGGATTTTGTCCCTTAGAATCACTGAGGACATTAGGGTTTGGTTTCCTTTTTTCTCTTTCCCTCCCTTCATTCTCCTCTTCTCTAGCTTATTTTTCACCTGCTTCCTTCCCTCCACCAAGCAGCTGGGGGTGGGGGGTGGCAGAGGTTGCTCTTATTGTGAGAGGCCCTCACAAAGAGGTGGGGCTGGAATAGTGCTCTGAGGCCTTGGCTACACTTCCAGATGTACAGCGCTGTGAGTTAAACCTGACTTCGTGCAGCTGAGTAGGGAAAGCGCTGCAGTCTGTCCACACTGACAGCTGCCCAGCGCACTGTCGTGGCCACATTTGCGGCAATTGCAGCGCTATTGGGAGTGGTGCATTATGGACAGCTATCCCACAGAGCACCTCTTCCCATTCTGGCGCCGTGGGTTGTGAAAAGGGGGCGTGGGTGCTGGGGATTCTGGGTCCTGTCCCAATGACCCGTGGTGCATCGCTTCGCATCCCAGAAATCCCTTTGTTTCCGTCCACCTTTGGCGCCATCTTTCAACGGTTTCTGTGCAACGCAATCTGTCTGCGGGAAATGGAGTCCGAACTGCTGAAGTGTATGCTGACGAGTCTCGCCAGCACGTCACGTTTGGCTGTCGAACTATTCCTTAAGATCCAAAGTGACAGTGAGAGTGAGGGTGAGGAGTCCGACGATGCTATCGAGCCGCGTAACGCGTACAACACAAAATTGCTTGTGGCATTCACGGACATGCTCAGCACCGTGGAACGCCGCTTTTGGGCTCGGGAAACAAGCACCGAGTGGTGGGATCACATCGTCATGGAAGTCTGGGATGACGAGCAGTGGCTGCAGAACTTTCGGATGAGAAAAGCCACTTTCATGGGACTGTGTGAGGAGCTTGCCCCCACCCTGCCGCGCAAGGACACGAGATTGAGAGCTGCCCTGCCAGTGGAGAAGCGGGTGGCTATTGCAATCTGGAAGCTGGCAACTCCAGACACCTACTGGTCGGTCGCAAACCAGTTTGGAGTGGGAAAGTCGACCGTTGGAATCGTGTTGATGCAAGTTTGCAAGGCCATTAATCGCATCCTACTCAGAAGAACCGACTCTGGGTAACGTGCAGGAAATAGTGGATGGCTTTGGACAAATGGGGTTCCCTAACTGTGGAGGGGCGATAGATGGGACGCACATTCCTATTCTGGCACCACCCCACCTAGGATCCGAGTACGTTAATCGGAAGGGGTATTTCTCTATGGTTCTCCAGGCGGTTGTGGAGCACCGTGGGCATTTCATTGACATTAACACAGGCTGGCCCGGAAAGGTGCATGACGCACGCATCTTTCGGAACACTTGGCTGTTCAGGAAGATGCAGGCCGGGACTTTTTTCCCAGAGCGGAAGATCACGGTAGGGGAAGTTGAAATGCCCATTGTGATCCTTGGAGATCCCGCTTACCCGTTAATGCCGTGGCTCATGAAACCCTACACAGGGAGCCTTGACAGCAGCAAGGAATGGTTCAACTACAGGCTGAGCCGGTGCCGAATGACTGTGGAGTGTGCCTTTGGCCGTTTAAAGGGCCGCTGGCGATCTCTGTATGGGAAGCTGGACTTGGCCGAAAACAGCATCCCTGCGGTTATATCCGCGTGCTGTGCCCTCCATAATATTTGTGAAGGGAAGGGTGAAAGCTTCACTCAGGCATGGACCTCCGAGGTTCAACACCTGGAGGCTGAATTTGCACAGCCAGAGAGCAGGGCTATTACAGGGGCCCAGCGTGGGGCTGCAAGGATTAGGGATGCCTTGAGGGAGCAATTTGAGGCTGAAAACCAGCAGTGATATCTGGTGCCCTGCACGGGAGTGAAGTGCAGTAGTTCCAATCTTTAGGAATCAGTGTCTGCTTAGCAGACAAGCAGACTTTCACTGCCTGTTTATTTCCTGTGCTAAGGAGTCTTTTACTTTATGCAATAATAAAGAATGTTTTCAAAGCCAAAAAATCCATTTATTGAAAAGAAAAAAAATTTATTTATTGAAAAGAAACAAGGGGGTGGAGTGGGGAACAGTACAATCACAGATTCGCATATGTCCTGTCTGGTGTGCTGTGCAGTGAGTGCTGCACTTCAGGACAGCTATACTGCATGGTGATGGGGGTTGAGTGCAGAGGGTAAGGGTCGTTGTTTTCAGGGCTGGGTGGTGAAGTTACTGGTGTTGGAGGTAGCGGGTGGCGTGAAGAACACGGAAGTTGGGGAAAGTGGGTTGGAGGTGACAGTGGGGCACAATGGAAAGAGTTTTGGGACAAGGGCTGTGGGGGGGGTTGGCGTTTGCGGTACTGCTCCTCTTTCTGCATGGCTACCAGCTCCTGGATAGCATCTGCTTGGCGCTCCAGGATGCTTATGAGCCTATCAGTGCTTTGCTGCCGGTGCGCGGTGCTTTGCCGCCGGTGCGCTGCGTTTTCCTGGCGGATCCTGCTTTCTCTCTCCCTCCAGTCCTGTGCTTTCTCATTCTCTTTAATAGATTGCTGCATCACTGCTTGCAGCATGTCTTCTTTGCTTTTTCGCGGTCTCTTCCTGAGTCTTTGCAGTCTCTGAGCAGGCGATAAGAGGGACGGCTGAGGTCTCAAGGTTGATGCAGCTGTATAGGCAAAATGCAACATTTAACAGAGGCAGCATTGTTTATACCAGACAGAGTAATGATTCCCCCCGCACTTAAGGAGTAGAAAACGCACAGGGTCTACACAATAGCATAATTTTCTCGTCCGAAACAGAGCACGCATATCCCATGGGAGCCTCAAAATGGTGAGGAAGGGGGACTGATTGTTTCAGGGCTGCACTGTCCTCTGGGTTTCTGTGCCTTGGGGAGAGCCAACAGCTTCAGGGGGCACCTACACTGAACACTGTCCCAACATTTTCCACAGGAGTTCGTCCTGGAATGATATCTCGCTGCTGAGGGTGACCTGGGAAGCAAGGGAGGGTCTTCTACTGCAATGTGGCTTCCGCCCTGGCCCATATGCAGCTTGCTTGTGTGCAGCAATGGTCCCCCCGCCCCTCGCGGCACAGTGGCGCGGACACGTTAGCCTGGCAGGGACAAGGACCACGGTGGCTCTCCCGATAAACCTGCGCAAGCACATTGCACACGTTCTGGATGAGACATTCGAGGAGATTACCGAGGCCGATTACCGTGATGTGATAAACTACATCAATGCACTATTCCGCATCTAGGCATGCATGCCTAACCCTCCTCTCCCAAAGAGCCCGCACCGAAAAAATTCCTTCCCGAAAAAAAAACCCGCTTACCGGGAACCTGCTTTTCTGTTTGTCCTCCACCAAGTACCGGCCGCTGCGACTGGCTACCTTCCTCCTGGCTCGAGAAGAGCTCCTGGCTGCATGGCTCCAGGGATTCCGGGGTGTCTCCATCCGGCCCACCACCATCACTCCTATTTTCCTCCTCCTCTTCCTCCTCCCCCCCCACACCGGCTCTGAAGTGTCCATGGTGGTGCTCGGAGTGGAGGTGGGGTTAACCCCAAGTATCGCATCCAGCTCTTTGTAGAATCGGCAGGTCGCGTGGGGAGCACCCGAGCGGCCGTTTGCTTCACGGGCTTTGTGGTAGGCACTCCGCAGCTCCTTCACTTTAATCCTGCACTGCAGGGCGTCCTGGTCATGGCCCCTTTCCATCATGTCCTTTGATACCTTCCCGAAGGTATCGTAATTCCTACGGCTGGAGCGCAGCTGGGACTGTACAGCTTCCTCCCCCCAAACACTGATGAGGTCCAGCAACTCGCCATTGCTCCATGCTGGGGCTCGCTTGGCGCGTGGAGGCATGGTCACCTGGAAAGATTTGCTGATAGCACTCCACACCACGCCGGGCTGAGCAAACAGGAAGGGGATTTTTAAAATTCCCGGGGAATGTAAAGGGTGGGTCACATGGTTGGTTACCTGAGGCCAGGGCAGTA